TGTTTGGATGGTTTTAAAGGGGTGGTCCCCTGTTTTGAAAACACCCACACATATATCAATATAGATGACTTTATTGGATGAGGGAAACCTCAAAAGGGATGCAGCCGTTCGAAGGGTCCCTTATCTCAGTCAGCCATCAGATCGAAGCAAGCAGCGGAAGTGATGAGTTCAGGTTTTTTCAGCACTTGGTGGTCTTCCATTCCCTCTCTTGGCATTTCTTTGTATTCAAGCCAATGTCGGATATATCTAGCCAGCTGCAAGTTTCAGCAAGAGAGATTGGGTCAGAGGCATCTAATGACGAAGCGGATTGTTCCGTTCGAGCCCGAAATTTCACTTTCCAGCTGTACAAACCTTACTGTTTGACTTTTATTGGGGTGATGGTTTTGGTGGACTACTACAGGGAACATGCACCAAACAAACAGTCTCTATACTTGGTGGTTGGACTGGTGGTTTGGTTTTGGAATTTGAAGCCTTTCTTGTCGATGGCATGTTTTTCATCCATGCAAACCAAGCAACGAGGGAAGCTGAACATCACCAGAGGTCCAGGCCCTTCGACCCGGCCACTGCGCGCGCCCAGGCCTTCTCAGCGCTTGCGAGAAGGGGAGCCAGTGGCAGATGGCGCTGCACCCCGGCTGGATCGATCCGGAGCTGGACAATTCGGCGTCGATGCGGCCGATGCGGCGTCAACGGTTTTCTTTTGCTGGGTCCCTCAGCTAGTTGCCCTTTGACCCCTTTTTTGGGGGAGGCTTCCCCTACTAAAATGGACTACAGAAAGAAAGGGTACCCTTATGCCTTCTGCTAACCTCTCTACTGGAGCACCTAGTTTGGGTTGGACGGAGTGCAGATGAGGAATTGGGGTAGATTCGTCAATACAGAGTTGTTTTTTGTGGCTGGACGGTGCGATGAGGAATTCGGATCGATTCTTCCCGAGCCATTGGAAGTTTCTAGCCAGATGGCGGGCTTTTCTCATGGGATATGGAAGGGCTTTATCCTTTTGGCACACGATGGCTTTGGGGTTTCATCTGCAGCTGTCGGGTTGTTTTCAATTGTTCCTTCGCTTTCCCCTCACAAACAATTTCAATCGGTACCCTCGCAAATTAAGCGCCTATGCGTCAAAATCACTCTAATATGTTGGTTTCTTATTGGTTGCTTGTCGAGAACCATCCCCCAAAGGGTTCCTAATTTTCGCTCGCGGCTTTGGCCTATGATGATTGGCTTTGTCAACCATGTTTTGTTGCCTGCTTGCTTGCTTGCTGGCTGGCTGGCTGGCTTGCTTGCTTGCTTGCTTGCGTGCTGGATAGTTTCCGTTGATTCGTGCAGGTTGGACTTTTACAAACCAGGGGGCCCACCAGATCCTATAGGAAGAACACATTACATTGCAGGATTTGGTGGACATCATTTTGATTGGGATTGATGTCCACCTAGCATGTGGAGTGTCCCAGAATTAAAATGACTGGGGTCCTGTGGTTGCGACAGTGCCATTTGCTTAGCTGCCCCAGCGGTTTCTGCTCTTTCGAGCCTCATGTCTCACAGCGTTCCCTATTTTATAACCCCTTTGATGGCTTACATCACCTTTGAAATCAATTTGACGTGAGCTTCCTGGGGTGATACTTTGAGGCTGGAATTTTCGGCAACCCTCCCATCCACGAACCGACCTTGCCCTTTTGTCCTTCTGCAAAGCCTTTTGGATGTTCTTGAATTTGGGTTGGAAGTTTGGACCGTTTTAGCCGTGAATGAAAAGTTGGGTTGTGTTTTTGGTCCACTCGTTCGGAAGTGACCTCCATTGTTTCAAGCAACGTGAAGCCGAAGTGGCGAGGCATCTCCTGCTGAGCCTCCCACGGGAGGTGATCCCCGACGAGATCACCTTCAATGCCGTTTTGGGCGCCGTCTTGCGCGGCTGCGGGGAAAAAGAGGGCTGGGGTTTTGGACAGGCTTTGGACGAAAATAGAAACCCCCTTTTGACAAATGTGGCTTTTGGCTTTGGTCTCCCTTGAAAAAGGCTACCCTCAAAAAGGCTACCCTCAAAAAGAAGACTGAAAGCAACTTCATTTCATGCTACCCTCAAACAGAAGACAACCCCGGATTCCGACAAGCCCGAATAGACAAACCCGAACAAAACCCGAGCAGGTTCTGGCACCCGGAGGACCTCTCTTTTTCCCCAACAGCTGAAAGCTTTGGGGTCTCAGCCCAGATAGGCTCCGGGGTGGTTCGGGGCGACCCTGAGCTAAGGTTCCACCAGAGTTCCACCAGGGGTTCCACCAGGGCTCCACCAGGGTTCCACCAGGGTTCCACCAGGGTTCCACCAGGGTTCCACCAGGGTTCCACCAGGGTTCCACCAGGGTTCCACCAGGGTTCCACCAGGGTTCCACCAGGTTCTGCAAGGGCGGGGTGGTCTGGGGTGGTTTGAGGTAAGGTTCCACGAGGGTTCCACTAGGGTTCCACCAATTTCTTCGAGGGCTGCGGGTTTGAGGAAGGTTTCACGAGGGTTCCGGCTGCAGGGTGGTCCGGGGTGGTTTGAGGTAAGGTTCCACGAGGGTTCCACCAGATTTCCACCAGAATTCTGCCAGGGTTTCACCAGGTTCTGCGAGGGCTGCAGGGTGGTCCGAGGTGAGGTAAGGTTGTATGAGGGCTTCAGGGTTCCACAAGATTCTGCGAGGGTTCTACAAAGCTCTGCAAGGATTCCACACGGGTTCCACAAGGCTCCATAATGCTCCACCAAGGGTGTGTCGTGCGCCCGTCGTCTGAAAAGCCATCGAATCAAGATCGCTTTGCTCATGGGCGGAACACTAAGCAAAACCGAAGTCAATGGTTTTTAGCACACTTTCACTGTTTTGTGACTTGCTCACTTGCTCGGGCAGATGTTGGCTTTGTGGCAAATCAGATCACGTCGCTGCGGAACTCACGGTGCAGCAGAGTAAATGCTTGGCATTGCTGCTTGGTGGGCTTTGGGTTCCAAGAATTCCACGAGGCTGCGAGGGCTATGAGGTCAAAAGGTTTCCACCAAATTTTGCAAAAGCTATGGGGCAGCCCTGAGGAAAGGTTCCAGCAAAGTTTCACGCGGAGCTCCACGAAAGTTGCGTGAGAACGGTTTGCGAGGTTCACCAGGATTAGGTCGGGGCCCGGTTGCACTGTCGGGGGCCGCCCGATTGCACCGTTTGGATTGCGCCATCGCGCCCCGATCGGGGCCCGACTCAGTTGGGCCCCGTCAATTGTACCAAGCTGGCGTCGCCTAGTTTTGCTATAGATACAGTTGCAATCCGCATACTAAGGAAAACCGGCGTTGAGCTATAACATGGGTGGCTGGGGTTGCACCACGGGACGATCGGGGCCCGATTGCACCATCGGGCCCCGATCGGGCCCGATTGCACCGTCGGGCCCCGATCGGGCCCCGATTGCGCCGTCGGGCCCCGATCGGGCCCCGATTGCGCCGTCGGGCCCCGATCAGGCCCCGATTGCGCCGTCGGGCCCCGATCGGAGCCGACTCAGTCGGGCCCCGTCAATTGTACCAAGCTGGCGTCGCCTAGTTTTGCTTTTGATACAGTTGCAATCCGCATATTAAGGAAAACCGGCGTTGAGCTATAACATGGGTGGCTGGGGTTGCACCACGGGACGATTGGGGCCCGATTGCACCATCGGGCCCCGATCGGGCCCGATTGCACCGTCGGGCCCCGATCGGGCCCCTCGGGCCCCGATCAGGCCCCGATTGCGCCGTCGGGCCCCGATCGGGGCCCGACTGAGTCGGGCCCCGTCAATTGTACCAAGCTGGCATCGCCTAGTTTTGCTATAGATACAGTTGCAATCCGTCGGGCCCCGATCGGGCCCCGATTGCGCCGTCGGGCCCCGATCGGGGCGAGATTGCGCTGTCACTCGTAGCTTTGCTTTACAAGGCGGCATCCTCAGCAACACCGGCGGTAAGGATGGTCCCGGGGCGTTCCGCGAGGATTCTGGGAAGGGTGTGGTGCTGTTGGGGATATCGCCCGAGCTTATTTTTTCTCGGAGAAAGAATCGCTCGGCGCAGAAATCGCGTGGAGCCGGTTGGCCTGGGATCTTGGGCATCCACAGCACGGTGCAGAGGTTTGTTCGAACCCCACCTCCCCCTTGAGTCTTTTTTTCTTTTTTCTTTTTGTATACCAACTGAGTCTTGTTTTTGTTTTGGGGGGGTTAGCTGGGTTTATCAGACCCACAACTGCTTGGAGATAGAATCCAAGTGTCCCACCCCGACCTTGAGTCTTGTGTTCTACCTTGGGGGTTAGCTGGGATCAGACCCAGTTTTTTTGTTTTTTGGGCGTTAGCTGGGTTTATCAGACCCACAAATGCTCGGGGACAGAATCCAAGTGTCCACCACCAGGTGGTGTTTGGGGCTTGGGCATGGTGAAACTAATGGCGAAGCTGTCGTTGGTCATTCCTGACTTGCAATAGCTTGCTGTTGTGGTGATCCCTTCGGAGCCAATTTTCTACCCCAGTATTCGGGCCGTTCGTGAGCAGGTAGGTTAACGACCTCTTCGGATGGTAGGTTTAAGGCTGATTTGTTTGGACCTTTAACTTTCAACGTTTTGGGGAACATGCAGAATGTTCGCCCACAAACGCACATTTTGTGTTTTTGAGCGAGATGCAATAGCTGCCAAACTCAAATCCGCATTTGGCATTGCGATTCAACCCTCATTTCCACTCTGTGCCAAAAAAACATCAGGAATAGGCGGCGAGTGGTCGGAAACATTGGACAAAAGGGATCACATCTGTTGATGCCTTTCGTGGAAACGTGAAAAAGAATGCCGGACAATCTTTGGACCACTTTTATAGTCATATCCTTAAACCACCCTTAAACTACCCTTAACCACCATCCTTACACCACCCTTGACCTTAAACCACCTGATAGTCATATCCTTACGAACCCTTAACCCTTTTTGAAGGGGGAGCTTTGGAAGATAACACCCCAAAACGGGGAACCGGGCACGTAGGAGCCCTCACCCCAAGCCCCAAGCGACTCGTGACTGCGACAGGAGGGTGGCGTTAGATGCCGGGGCCTACGTCTCGGTGATGTCGGTCTGTGAGAAGGCGAGAAGCAACGTCGAGTCACTTCTCCAAGTCGAGTTTCGACCTTTTCTGGGCGGTTCGGGACCAGCCGTCCGGTTCAACTTAGTTCAAACTTAGTCTTCTCTTCTTTTTTGTTTTGTTTTACATGGTTTTGTGGTTGGGTTTCCATTTGACCCACTAAGAGGTCAACATTTCGCGGGGGATCTGAGGACTGCCCACAAGCCGATCGCCTTTCATTTCCCAGGGCAAGTTGATGTCAGACTCACTGGTCTCACCTCCCGAGTTTTTCTTTGGACATTTTGGGTTTAGACCGTGGCAAGCAGCTCGATCATTTTCTGGCCGATCCACGAAAGTTCGGAAGTGAGAGGTTGTCTAGGGCGTGGTTCTTTAGTATTTGAGTCCACGAAAACGGAGAGGTCACAAATTTACCACCAAAACCAGCAAGCTTGAAGGGCTTGATGCCTCAAGGGGGTGGTTCCTTTTCCGTGCGTAACGCAAAATTACGCTTACCCGAGCCCGAGCCCGTCTTCGCCGTCTTGATTTTCCGTCCATTCGATTTTAACGCCAGCACTGTTTTTCATATTGAAGAGAAGGATCTCTGGAGTGTGATACCCTACCCCCTTCTCCGTTGCACGCCCCGCACAGCCGGCAATTCAGAACGCTCAGGGCATTTGCGCATCTTCCAGCCTAGGAAGGGGGGGGGAAGGACTTAGGTTCCATGTGGGTGGGTCAAGATTAAACCACCAGAGGATTAGTCCTTGCTTCCATTTACCAGGGTTCTATTTTGGGTACCTATTTCTGACCCACACCCATGCGTGTGCTGAAGTAGCCGTCAGGTAACTTTGGAGGTGTTAAGGCGAGTGAACTTCTGGAGGAGCGAACCATCTTGAGGGTCGGGCAGCTGAATGTATGCCTAGGGATGCACTCCGTGTTCAAGTCGGAGGGGGTCGAAATGAAAACCACCAAAGGTGTTAGTTAATGTTCACATTCACCAGGGTTCTACTTTGGATACCTAGCCTATTTTTGACCCACGGCCTCTTCTTCTTTTCAGGTCCCATTTAAAGTGCCGTTCTAACCAAAGGCTTCCACCGTAGTCCATTTAGGGTCTTAGACCTGGCTGTAGATGGAGCCAAACTACCGCAGCCTCAGTGTCAGCAAAAGAGCCCCGAGGCCGCTCCATGGGTTCGTTCTTTGCACTTCTTCAGTTCGCTTCTTGGCGCGACAAGGCCTCCCAATGGACGGCGGCGCTGGACTTGCTGAGCTGGGAGCTCACACGAGAGACCACAATCGTTGGGACCGGGAGAATTGAACTTCGTTGCAACCAAGCATAATCCAGTGAGGATTTTGGTATACCTTGTTGTGCTTGTGGTTGCCTTTGCTCACTTGCTCGAAGTAAAAGGAGCACTTTGGTGTGGTCCTTTGGCTTTTGGTCGCATTTGGGTACCTTGTTGTGCTTTTCGATTGCTCGAAGTAAAAGGAGCACTTTGGTGTGTTCCTTTGGCTTTTGGTCGCATTATGGTGCCTTTTCGCGCTTTTGGTTGCCTTTTGGCCGCTTAGTTTGTTCCAAGTTTAGTCACTGTCCGCAAAGCGGAGCCTTGGCTTTCCGGGTGTTGGGACTGAGTGGCTGAGTTGAGCTGTGGTGTTTGGAACCACGTCTGGACGCCAAGAGGAGAACCACATTTTGCGCACATTTGTTGGGGGTCCTTGTGGTCCCCTTAAAGCCCATTTGGCGTTTCTTGTTTTGAGGGCGCCCATGGGCGCCCTGGTCCCATGACATCCAACCAGCGCGAGGTGCGCTGCTGCGAGCTGCCTTGCAGCCGGACCCGACAAGCGGAGAGCAGGGGAGAGGGGAGGGCTTGAAGTATCTGAGGGGGTTGTTCTTGTGGGGTTGAGGTTGTTCTGTGTCGGGAGGCGAACGGGTTGAAGTACCTTCTGTTTTGGGTACTTGGACCCAGGTAGCTTGCATTGACTGTTGTTGCCTTGGTGGTGTTTTCAGTAGTGGGGAGGGCTTGAAGTATTTGAGGGGGTTGTTCTTGTGGGGTTGAGGTTGTTCTGTGTCGGGAGGCGAACGGGTTGAAGTACCTTCTGTTTTGGGTACTTGGACCCAGGTAGCTTGCCTTGACTGTTGTTGCCTTGGTGGTGTTTTCAGTAATGGGGAGGGCTTGAAGTATTTGAGGGGGTTGTTCTTGTGGGGTTGAGGTTGTTCTGTGTCGGGAGGCAAACGGGTTGAAGTACCTTCTGCTTTGGGTACTTGGACCCAGGTAGCTTGCCTTGACTGTTGTTGCCTTGGTGGTGTTTTCAGTAATTTGAACATCTTGGGGGCCAGATCTGTTTGGCCTGGCCTCAGTCCTTTTGTTCCGGCATGAAGCCCAAAAAGGCGGGTCGACAGACCCAGATGGTGTTGAGACGTGTTCCATTTAGTTCTGGCAGCTCACCTTTTGCCGCTTGAGAAGCGCCCTGGCGGCTCATTTTTAGGGGTGAATCGAAAGTTTAGAAGTAGGTTGGCCAATTCACTCAAGGGATTGTGGCTCCGGCTATGACTTTTAATGGGAATCCTTTTGGTGGGCACTGTTTGCATGGGGATTTGTGTCCACCATCCATTCTTCAGGGTTATCCAACCATCCAAATCCATGTTTGTTGGGGCATGTTGGGGCTTTCCCACAGATTCCAACCGAATAGCTACGTCAACATGGGTTGGCTCTCCCAATGACAGCTGTTTTCTGGTGGGTTTCTGTTGTGAGCATGCCCCTGCCTTTAGCATACACTCCCAGCAGGCTGTGGCTCAAAGAACCCTTGCAACATCCGCGTAACCCCTCCTGTTTAATTTTGACAAATGCTTCGCCTTTAGGAGGGCGCGGCCTACAGCAGCGCCATCAGCTCATGCGGGAAGGCATGAGCGGGCCATTGGCCAAATGCAGTTGATTCGGTCCATTTTGGGGTCTCCTTCAAGACCCAGGGTTAGGGGGTGGTGTCATTGGAGGGTTTTGGAACTCAGCAAGTGCTCATTCAGGAGGGCGATGGCAACATTCCAACTTTGTCCGATTCTTTCCATTGGACAACGCCCCAGGCACTTTTCTTGAGAGTCCTATCTGCGCTTGGAACCTCCCGTTCCATCGATCACTGCATGAGCATGGGCGAGTGATCGTAAAGAAGAGCACAGAGGGTCCCGGGGCAACTTAAATGCTGGGTGCGCGCGCGTGTGCGCGTGCGTGGGTGCGTGCGTGCGTGCGTGCGCGTGCGCATGCGCGTGCGCGTGCGCGTAGGCGTGGGCGTGGGCGTGAGCGTGTGCGGGGGGGCGCGCGCGCGCGCGCGTGGGTGTGTGTGTGTGTGTGTGTGTGTGTGTGTGTGTGTGTGTGTGTGTGTGTGTGTGTGTGTGTGTGTGTGTGTGTGTGTGTGTGTGTGTGTTTTAGTGTGAGTGTGTTTGTGTGTGTGTGTGTGTGTTTGTGTGTTTGTGTTTGTTTGTTTGTTTGTTTGTTTGTTTGTTTGTTTGTTTGTTTGTGTGTGTGTGTCTGTGTGTGTCTGTGTGTTCTTGTGTGTGTGTGTCTGTGAGCGTGTCTGTGAGTGTGTCTGTCTGTGTGTGTCTGTGTGTGTCTGTGTGTGTCTGTGTGTGTCTGTGCGTGTTTGTGTGTATGCGTGTGCTCCTGTGTGTCTGTGTGTGTGTCTGTGTGTGTGTCTGTGTGTGTCTGTGTGTCTGTCAGTGTCTGTGTCTGTCTGTGTGTGTCTGTGTGTGTCTGTGTCTGTCTGTGTGTGTCTGTGCGTGTCTGTGTGTGTGCGTGTGCTCCTGTGTGTCTCTGTGTGTCTCTGTGTGTCTCTGTGTTTCTCTCTGTGTGTGTCTCTGTGTGTCTCTGTGTGTGTGTCGCTGTGTGTGTGTCTGTGTGTGTGTGTGTGTCTGTGTGTCTGTGTGTGCGTGTGTGCGTTTGTGCGTGTGTTCGTGTCTGCGTGTGTGTGCGTGCATGCGTGCGTGCGTGCGTGCGTGTGTGGGTGTGTGTGTGTGTGTGTCTGTGTGTGTGTGTGTGTGTGTGTGTGTGTGTGTGTGTGTGTGTGCGTCTCTCTGTGTGTTTCTGTAATAGTTGGTTTTCCATGCGTTCTCTTTTCCATAGCTATGCCCTAAGCAGTGAAGCCCTTGTGCTCCCAACTTCCCCCTAGAAGTGACCTTCAGGTGTCCGTGACCTTGACAAAGGCTCAGTAAGCAAGTAGCGTCACCCGGACGTGGCTGCCATGGCCCTTGGGGTGATGGAGACACACGTTTGTAATGGTCCGAGTGGGGCTTCGGTTCGTTCGCGTGGAACTGCAACTTGCGACTCTCACCCTTTGCATCATTCCCCCGCTCACTCATGAATCTGCGTATTTCATCGCAAGCTCACCGTAAAACGAGCGAAAGCCAGGATAAAGGTCCTTTACTTGGGGATCCAATTCTTAAACCAGCTTTTGGAGTTGTCGCGAAATTTGCAGATGAGAATGAAGGTCTCCTAGGGATTCCTTACTTCAGGCTGGCGAAGTATTCTCACGTCGCGATGTGTCAGGCGGAGCAGTGGGAGCGTGCTTTGCAGCTGCCGCGCGGCGATGCGGCCGCCGCCGCCGCCGCCGTTCTTGCGCTGGAGAGGGGTCGCTGGGACTGTGGAACATGTGGTGCTGCAAATACCATGCCACCCGCCCGTGTAACGAGCATACATTCATCCAAACAATGTACCTACAAGAGATGTGTGCTTTTGGAGGGTGCCCCTTTTGGACCGGTTTTCAGGGGGGGCCAATGGGAAACTCGGTCTTGTTGGGGGATTTTCTATTTTAAGACACCCCCCGCAAGCTGCCAGCAGCCGCGATGTCCCAGGCAGCCAATGGCAGGCCGCGCTGGGACTCTTCCTCAACATGCGGTCGCAGGAGCGCAGCGAGTGCCACGGCGAATCCCAAGGTGTAGACTGATATGACTTCCATTTGCTGAAACGAGTATATGTTTTTGGTCTTCTCGGTTGGATTAAAAGGGAATCTATCACTGGAATTATGTTTGTTGTTTTCCAGGGGGGTTAAGCAAATGGAAGATGAGGAAATATGTGGCAATTGTGGCAATGGAGGCGAACAGCGCCAAACAGCTGCCCACTTGATCTACACCCGTACCGACCGACCCCATCGTGGGGTCCCTTGAGAACGCATCTGCGGGACGCTGTGCGCCGAATTTCGCTCCGCAGTCCTTGCTATGGTGCGAAGATGTGGGGCGTGTCTCCACGTCCTTGGACGAATTGTTGGCCTGTTGCCGCACAAATCTGGAGTTTTTTGGGTGCCCGGCGGGCCAACATGGTCTTCCCCCCCACCCCGAAACCCGAACCCCCCCCTATCCTAAGCTGTGAGTTGCAGGTCTTCCCCCCCCCCATCCTAAACTGTGAGTTGCAGATCTTCCCCCCCACCCCGAAACCCGAAACCCCCCCGTGTTGCAGGTCTTCCCCCCCACCCCGAAGCCCGAAACCCCCCCATCCTAAACCGTGAGTTGCAGGGGCCCTAGCATGGCGGCAGTTCAGCGAAAAAGCAAAGCAAATCTCTGTTTGTGCAGTGTTTCTTGCGGATGGCAATGCGCGAAATGTGGACACCTGCTTGTCAGTCAGGCTTTGACTGATCCCGGCCAGCTTCGTTTCCTTTTGGCTCGGCGCGGCCAAAACGCTGAAAACAAGCTGTGTTTAGGCGTTTTTGGGCGGAGTGCACTTTTTCTCGACGCGGCAAACACGTTGAAACATCTAAAAACACATATTGTGAGGCGTCCAAACTCAAATAGTACAAGTGACGTGCTTCTTCCACTCTATTTGCGGTCAGTCTTTGAGCCACAGATCAAGCTAAACAGGAGAATGCCAGACCCAGTGTTTTTTGCGTTCTTTCAGTGGGATCTTAGGAGGGAACTCTCCTTAACCACCAAATTGCCGGGCTTCTCGTCCGCTCGGTCGAGGCTCGGCTACTTGGCCGCCTTCGGGGCCTGCGAGAAGGGCACGCGCTGGCGCATGGGCCCGCAGCTGCTGTCGGCCATGCAGCGGCTCGCTGGGTGAGTTTTTGGGTGCCGATGTCGGAGGGGGTTTCTGGCTTTTGCCCCTCTCTTTTGGGGAGAAGGGAGTAAAATATGTTTTTTTTTTCTTTTTTCCGGATGTTTGAGTGAAAAGGGAAGTAAAAGCAAACCCGTGAGTCATTTTGGGATGGTCCCTCGTTTTTGCTACGCCGAACACCCCAGGCTGTTCGGAAGGTGAGAAGGTGAGAAGCTGCCTCCCCTCTTTGGGTTTGTCTAGTACACAATGCATATCAAGCAACAAACAGAAAATGGACAGACACGAGCAATGAATTAAGAACCATGTGAATTGAGGTCAATGTTGGATTGTTTAGGGTGTGCATGTATGGCTGTGTCCCGCATTTGGGTGAAACAAGTCTCTTGCATGTCTGCAAGTGCAAGACAGGCACCTCGCATTCAACCAGCGGCTCCGTTCAACAAGAAAAACATGGTGCTTCCAGCGGAAATGGAGAACACACAACCCGCATTAGACGGAAGAACCATGGGCAACCAGATTTCAACGCCCCACAAACCACAAGGAAAAGGGAGACCCCTCCTACCAATTCACATGGAACCGTGCGATGTTCGGGTCCTGGTTTGCGAAATGTTCCTAAAAAGAAGGGACCATTTCTCTGTCAGTTTCCACATTAATCAGTGGGAGTTTATAAATTGGAGCCACGTCATTGTATGCCAGTCGCATTCTTCAAATACGATATATCACAGTTGTTAAAACCAAAAAAGCTGATTATCCTTCAACTACGATGCATCAGTTAAACAAAAACATAAACTACCAAACAAAAACACCATGGCTCTTTTCAAGAGCTGCAAGCTTCTCTGAGGACCACAAGCCGCCTCGTCCCATCCTCTCGAGGCAGCAGCTGCTGCGGCCGGCGGCAGTGGCCAGCACCGCGGCTGTGGCGGCCGTGGCAGAGGAGTGGCCACAGGCGAGGTCGCGGCGTTTTTTTGTTTTTTGTTTTAAGGATTTGGAACCCCTAAAATGGTTCATTCCCATAGGAGGTCCTTCTTGGTTGTTTTGGCAGAATAAAAATAGATGGCCCTGGTTTACCTAGTGGTTTAATCTTAATCATCTACCAGGGCCATCTATCGCCCCAAAAGGACGCCTATGTTCATTCCCCTTAAGGGCTTGTATTTTGGGGGTGTCGTTTTTTAGGATTTGGACCCCTTTGATTGGTTTTCTTTTGGGTTTGCCCCGCAAAAAAACCAACAAACAAGGGGGTGCCCATAGGCGGGGAATGAGAAACGGAATGACTCCTATAAATTCCCGCAACTTTTTGCTGAGCACCAGCAAGTTCAGGGGACCTCTAAGAATGGTTGGTGTTCGTTTTGGTTTGTCTTGAAAACCACCCAAAAGGAGGTACCCTCAAAAGAAGCCCGTCACCAATTTGTTTGAGCCCTTTAAGGTGAGTTGAAAGGGAACCCACATGGAACCACCCTACTCTGATGGCCCCGCCATTTGTGGCATATACCCACTTGGATGATCTTCGTGCACTTGGATGGTGCGGGGGTTCGCTTCACTGACTGGTTGTTTTGAGGACGAGCGATGAGTCCAATGAGGGGTTGGGAAATCTTACTGCGGTGATACAAGGCAACCTCCGCTTTGAATGAAGACTTAGTCGCTTGGAAGGAATTCCATTAATATCGCAGAAGTGGACGCATTCCGTTCGCGGTCGTTCACTAGGGTTCACCCAAATGAAGCTGACTTTAAAAACACAATCAGAAGGTGATCCAGATAAACTGGGAGGGTGGAAGGGATGAGGGAAGACGGGAATCTGCAGAAGACTCGGACAGAAAAGAACTCACCTCTCTGGAACTACCTTGCTGAAGATGCGGGCATCATTCAGACCTTGGATCGCCCATGGTCGAGGCCTGCAATCATGGCAGCAGCTTGGTGGAGCAATTGGTTGGTTGAAGGGACTGAAAACGGGCAACGTCGTTTTGCATTGGATTTTGCAGTGCATCCTAGCTTCCCCTGAGTTGACAAGCCACAAATCATGCTGGAAATCCCCGCACACAGGTGTCTGATTTGCCGGGGGTCACGGTTTTTCGGGCAAGGCGGTTCTGCTGCTGGCCGGCATGACGCTGGGCGGCATTAGGGGGGCTCACTGGGGTTTTTGGGATGCAGTGGGTGAATTATGTTCTATATATAATAATATTAGATATGTGTGCGTGTGTCAATCCTTTGGTGCATTTTGCTTGGCTGTTAGGACTTTAACTTTTTGCCAACTAATGGGTTTTCCACTAAACCACTAAAAGTTAAACTTTTAGCAGGGGAGCAGAAAGCAACCGAGAATCGTTTTTATGGGTAAGTACCTATTTGGGAGCGGTTTTGACGGGAAACCAAAAGAGCAAACTCCGTGTTGGGGGGGTCTCCTCAAACAAAAGACACAATCATATGTGATAAGTTTTGGTTCTGGCAATCACAAGCACCTTTGGGGCAATTCTCATGAAATCAGGAGACGTTGCCGGAACCGAGTGAAACTGAGTGAACTAAGTGCCCGAAAGTTCCTTCCCTGAGGCCTTTGTGTCTATTTGGCAACGAATCTTTGGACTTCCTCTTGTCGGTTGATCCAGCTGGGGTTTTCTGTATCGGCCCTACGCAAAGCGGGCAACTTGCTTTTGGCAGAGTCCCGCAGGCGGCGCCGGGCGGTTTGTGACGCCTCCCCGGCCTTCAACGCGGCGCTGGGGGGACTCGCGGGACTCACGGAGTGGCAACTGGCGCTGGCCATGCTGTGGCGGAAGCAGCAGCTGCCCGGCCTGGTGGCGCGCATTTTCGGAGGTGCCCGGTTTGTGGGCTGGGTTAAAGGGGGAACACCAGTAGACCAAACACGGTTTCTTTTGGGGGGGGTGATTTTGACACATACACAGCTCAAGTTGGGTGTGTGCTTTTTCACGTGGATGCAAATGGAAACCCCATTTTGTCCGCCTACTTTGACACACACCCAGTACCTGCCGACCTGCAGGGGACGTCTCGAGTCCTTTTTTCCTGAAGTGTGAGGGTTCAGTGCACGTTGCTGCTGACGAAGAGGAACAATCATAGATGCATGTAACAGATAGTATGTTTTGGTACCTGGCGCCTCTAGGAGCCCCTGTGGTTTTGGTAAGTGTCGCTTGTAATTGTAATCAGTGATCATAGCACTAAAACATCATTGACATAGCGCAGCCCACAACATGTGCCGTGCACACTTGCTTGTCACAGAGAGACTCCCACTTGAGTGCCTGGTGGGGATTGCCACTCACGAAGCACAAAAGGGGGAACACCCCCCCTTGTTTCGGCGGTTTTTGCGCGAATGGCTTTTGCATCGATGGCCCAACAAGGTTTGCGCAGCAAGCTGGGCAAGTTGTGTATTTGAGATGCTTGTAAATCCTTCGTTGCATTCGGCCACAGTAAGCTGCAGCTTTGCGCCTTGCAGTTTTGAGTATGGAAGGCACCCCAGCAAGTCCTTTTTCAATTTGGGGCTGCAGCTGCGCACCTTCAAGTTTGCGTACAGAAGACGGACAAAAGCTGATGCAGATTTGCGCAAATGGCAGGGTTTCGTGATGTTTCACGAAAACTTGTTTTTTCCCATAGCTCCTAGAGGCTGGGCATGGGCAGCATCTACATCCATCGCTGGTCCAACCCTGTCCAAGGCTGTCGCTTCCGATGAAGGGCATGAACTTTGGCCGCTCGGCTGAAGCTCTCGAATGGGGAAGGGGCTGTGGCCACATAGGTGTTTCTGTGGACCTGTTTCCTTATTCCCTGGGAATAAATGCCTTGGCAAGCAGTCGCAGGTCTTGCAAGGTCTTGCGGCCGTCAGGCCAGCCACGGGTGTTGACCTGTTCACTTGCCTCCTCAAGCCTCAGTCAAGTATCTAGAGTGGAAATGCATAGCCCTGGCTCATATTTCTGGGGTTTGATTCCCCACTCTTTTCAAGCAGCCGTTCTTTCCAAAAACCCGATCCATTTCCCTGGGTTTCCGGAGGCTTTCTAGAAAGAAGGATCCTGGAAAGAATGGAAATGGAAGGTACCCCTAGAATATTGGTTCCTTGATTCCCCGCCGACCAGGATGTGAAAGAGGGGTTGGGAAGGTCTAGTGGTAAATCGACTGGACGTTTTCGGACCAATCCGCAGTGAGTCCAGGCGCAGCGCGCGGAAGGTGTATTGAAGCATTATTGAAGCAAGGCCATTCGTTGAAAACCGCTCCTCCAACAATATTGGAAGCTAACGGGAGGAGTTTGGAAGACTACTTTGTTTGTTGGGGCACCCCCCAGTCCACTTCCATGATTGTTGGAAAGAGGGTTGTGATGATGAAAGATGTGATGAACGTCATGACGAGAGACGTGGCCAGAGTTGTTACAAGAGACCTGTCAAGGGACGTGACCAAAAGCGTGACTAGCTACGTGACGATAGATGTGACAAGTGTTACGTGAGACGCGACAAAGGACGTCACCAAAGACGTGATCAAGACACGTGACAAGAGAGACGTGACAAGAGACGCTGTTACGAGAAACCTGACAAGGGGCATGACCAGAGACGTGACTCGAGACGCCACCAAGACGTGACTATGCACAAAACTGCGATAAATGTCATGAGACGTGTGAGGAGAGACGTGACGAGATTGGACCAGAGACGTGACGAGAGATGTGACAAGAGACCGTGAAAAGAGACGCGCCGAGGGTTGTGACAAGAGACGTGACCAGAGACGTGGCGCGAGGGCCGACGACTCATGCGTGACAAGAGACGTGACGAGAGTCGCCAAGAAAGACGCGGCGGGAAACGCGAGGAGTCGTGACGACAGGCGCGGCGAGACACGTGAGAAAAGACCAGAGACGCGACGCGAGTGGTGACGACTCACATGACAAGAGACATGACGGGAGTCGCCAAGAAAGACGTGATGGGAGACGTGACAGAGTCGTGACGAGAGGTGTGGCGGGACACATGATGAAAGGTTTGACGAAAGTCATGACAAGAGACGTGGCCAGAGTTGCTACGAGAGACGTGACAAATGACGTGACCAAAGGCGTGACTATAGAGACGTGACCAGAGCCGACTATAGAAACGTGAATAGAGTCGCAGAGTCCGCTTTCGTGTTCGCATTCGGGTTCGTGGCTTCTATCAGTTTCTTTCTATGGGAACACCCTCAAAGATGGTTGGTAGATATAAGCCCCAACCCAAATGATGTCCACAACAGTCTGGGACCCATCAAACTCACTCTCATGGCAACAAACATCTCCGCCTTCTTTAGTTTTGGAAGGACGTGGGGGGCTATCCCATTTTCTCATCATGGAGTAGGATCGCCAAATGTTATCTTGGGGTTCTTGTTGTTTTTTCTTTGCCGACAGCTGCAAACCATGGTGAGTCGGAGTAGCTTTCAGGGAGAGCTGCACAGGGTTCAACGATACACCACCTGGGCCTGTGGGCTTAATTTTGGGGAGACTCATATGCCTCGACTCGACTTATTACGCATCCTTTTTGGAAACAAAAACATGGTTGCGAGGAAACAGGGTTTAGGGCCACTTTCCGTGATACCAAGAAAGTCCTTGGAAAAAAGATCCACTTATTTGGTATCCAAGCACCCCGTGCCGGCCTCCCGCACAAAAAGCTTAGGCGCTGCGGTGAGCGCCGCCAATGGGGCGCGCCAATGGCGGCAGGGGGCCAAGCTGCTGGCGAGCGCCTGGGAGGTCTGGGGCGGCCTTTCCGCGGAAGATGCAACGGAGTCCGGCGGCGTTTGGGAAGGACGGGCCCGGGAGTCCGGAACGAAGGAGGTCAGCAGGTCCAGTTGATGATATGTTTTTTTTTCAGGTGCAACACGCCCGGAACTCAAAGCCGTGAGACATCCTGTTGGGGTGAGGGAGGAGTCGGGAGGTTGAGAGCATTCGGGTCCTGGCCTTTAGGGTTTCTTTTTTGACAAGCGGGAAAAGGTATAGAAGAGTCAGACAAGGCCCGAATCACACAGGCGAGGATTCAACCGATGGATCTTGGTGCATGGAGAATGACGACTTTGTCCTTCTGCAATTGTTTGCCAGCCCTAAAATCAACGATTCATGTGGAGAGTTGACAAATGGACCCGTTTGTCAACCCCTTTGAAACTGGGCTCAGGATGTCGGCAGTTTTCAACGATTATCACGGCCAGTCTTGGGGCCCCATCCCCTCTTACCAGCTGCACGGAGGCTGACTGTGATCAGTTTCAGTTCGGGGTGGCCTGCTTTTCTGTCCACCTCCAGCTGCTTTTGGGGCCCAGCCAAGCCGCCCTCCACTCCTCCAGCTGCTTTTGGGGCTGAGCCAAACCCCCCGAATGAGGTGGCCAAAGGCCCGGGGCTTGGGTTGCAACTGGCTTCCCCGTGTAACCCTTCGCCCCGGCGCTCGTCAGGAGTCGAGATCTTGGCCAAGGGTCCAGGGCTGGTGGCCATCAACAAGCCTTCAGGCGGTGAAAAACGGCAGCCGTTTTTTTCCCAGGGTTTCGGACACCCGCGACGTGGCCCGTGGTAGATGGCCAGCTTTCCTTTTAGGCTTTTGGGCTTTCACGGGGCAATATGGCAAGGCCCAGCTTTCCTTTTGGGCTTTAAGCGTGCAATATGGCAATACTTCCATTTGCTGAAATGAATATGTTTGTTTTGTCCTGTTGGGTGGAAGGAGACTCTGTCACTACCGGTTTCAACGCTGTTTGTACGGTGCGTGTCCCCGTTGCGTTCTATCGCAGCACCACGCTTGTGGTTGTAGTCACGCAGGAACAAATTGTCTTTCTCAAGTCGACGTTCACCAAAAAACAAGCCATGTTCGCAGTGCAAATGTCCGGCCTATGCTTTTCAAGTGCAAGAACCAAAGCTCCAGTTGTTTGAAGCAGGCATATTGTTGCTTAAATATCACACCCAGCAACACATTGGGGGTCTTACTATCTTGACTGCTATTGGGTTGGATCTTTAGACTTCAACTTTTTGGTTGAAATCAAGGGGGTTTTCCACCAAACCCCCAAAAAGTGAAAAAGCTTTTTGCCGGGGGGTCGTTGCAGCCAGCAAGCTCTTGCATCTTGCCTGTGGTTCGCTTGCCTTTAGGTGTCAGCACGGAGGCTGTCCTGGCCAAGCTGCCAGTAGCCCCTTGGCCAAGCTGTCCGGTCCGGGGCAGTTGGCTCACTCGGAAGGGCTGCAAGAACATGGGGTCAACATGAAACCAGGGACCGCAGGTCTTAGCGCTGATTTCCATGTGCCAAGGTTCCATTTTGGGGATTTCTGCTTGTTTCTATGCGCCAAGGTTCCATGTTTGGGTTACCCTTTTTTGACTCACACCCCAATTACCCCACCACAAGGAAGCTCGATGTGGCGGAGGTGATGTTAGACTCACCCAACGAGGATAGGACCCGGAATGGAACCCGGCCCGGCCTTTCTGGTCGGGGTTCGTTGCCAAAATCGGCGAAACGTATGGTCCCCCCCCCAAACAAAATTGATTGCGGCGTCATGGCGGTATGACCAACTGGTCCTAGAACCGGTGGCGACCAGAGGGGGGGATGCGCCCTTGGCTCCAATAGAGCTGTCGCAAGCTCTAGAGATGCGTTTAGGGACTGCAGAGCTGCAGGGTCAAGAGACAATGGTGAGTTTTGTTTAGTGGCGGGGTCAATCGCAAGTTTTTTTGTCTGTCTTAAAAAAGAAAGAAAGACTAAGAGTGTTTTTTTGACAGGTGTTTCTATTAAGAGTCAATTCAAGAGTGAGTTTTTGGTTGGTGCCTGTAGCTGGCACCTCTGAGCAGTCCATGGCTCAGCCGCGAACGCGCGGAGAACGCGCGCGCGGGCGTTTTCAGGCTGCTGTGTCGAGGCTGGACAAGCCCACCTCAGGCGCGGGGAGAGGGATGCGATGTGGGGAACTGGTCGTGGGGAAATGGGACGACCGAAAGGGAAACCAAAATGGAAACCCCAAAAAAAATGGGATTTAAAGGGAAGCCAAAAGGAAGGGGTGCCCAAAGCAATTGGCGCCCTTTCTCACCCGTTTCGTTTTTGGTTGGGAGGGTCCCTAGTAAAATAGACTACAGGAAACAGGGTACCCTTATTCTAACCTCTCTACTGGAGGACTTAGAATAGGAATTGGACCCCTCTTTGGATGGGATTTAAAGGCAAACCAAAAGGAAGGGGTCCCACCACCTGGAGGAATCGGTCCCTAATTTTGAGAAACACAGGGCTGAACGATGTTCAGCTATTGGCCATTTGGAATGAAATCGGACGTCCTCCATCACCCTTGCTTCCTTCTAGTCTCCTCTCATTTGTTTTGACAGCCCGGCTAGTGGCTAGCGTTCGCTTGAGTTCGGGATATAATTTGAATCTTCATATGTCTCTTCTCGTGCTACGGACATCAAGTCTATCATTTCGACCCTAGCTGAGCATGGCTATGTCATCGGGACGTGTGGTGAGAGTACAATGACAATGGAGGCATGGAGTCAAAGCCTGTACTAGTTGAGACAGTATCTCTTTTGCCCTGCGGTTCAGTTGCCACCACAAAAAGAACGGTTGGGTTCATAGAACCACCGAATGTTTGCCTAAGGATTGTCATCATCCAAATTGGGTTAACCATTCTTTTAATGGGGGTTGAACCGTAGGGTTTTATCTTTATGACCAATGACAAGGTCAATTCCAATTAGGGGAACCTTTTGAGATGAACGTCTGCCGCGCTAAATCCAAGAGCAGGGCAAGATCAAATCAATTTACGTGACCATCCGAGAGCCAGCTGAGGTTCGGCCCACATGTCCTGTATGGTCCATGTGGGAGGGACTCACTCATTTGTTCAAAGCAACAGGGGGCTCACTAACTTTTTCGTGTCTTGGGGAAACTTACCAAGTTTCTCACCAAACACTTTGTTTTTAAGTTTTTTTTTTTTTTTTTTTTTTTAAAAAAATTTTTTTTTTTTTACCAGACCCATTTGTTCTCCATATTTTCCAATTTTTTAGCCATCCCCCACCACCTTTCCCAGACAAAAAGCCCCGGGAACATCAGCCCAGCGAGGGGTGCTGGTGGCGGCGCTGGGCTCCGACTGCTCTCCGGCCTTCCAGCTGGCCAGCGCCCAGTTCTCGGCCCGGCCGGGCGCCGTGGAAACTCCCGGGTCCGGTCCCTCCGAAAAAATCCTGGGGGGTTCGTATCCCATGGTTTTCTGGTGTGTCTTTTTCAACACATATACATATATGTATATATATATATATATATATGGCTGTGAATTTTCAATAGGGATCCCACCTCAATTGAAATTCAGACCCATAAATACAATGTATATATATATATGTATATGTATATATACTAGCTGGGGGTTCTTCCCTGAATGTCTAGCACACTTTTCTGGCACAACATATATTTATATACTATATGTGTTCTACACATCTTTGGGTATGGGTGTTGATGGGTTTCGTGAATTTTCATTGGGCAGGAGTTGTTTTGTGTTTATATACAATACACAATTATATATATATATATATACATATATATATATATATATGTACATGGTGTATATATATATATATATATATTATGTGGGTATATGATTTGTTCTTCGCGCTGTTTTTCTTAGGGACCCTTTCAAGGGTGTCTTACTTCCACTTCCCGAGTTGGCAGCCCACAGAGTTTTGACCGTGCCTGGAACGATCAGCTTTCCCGAGGCTTTCCTCTAGGTTGAGCGGCCGCATGATCCGCAGGGAAACCCCCCGGCCCCCCGCACCCCGCCCCCCGCCCCCCATGTGTTCTGTTTTTCAGGCATGAGGGCTGTCACTTTCCATTTGGCGTTGCAGTGGAAAGGGCTCGGACTGAGTTTCTTCGGGCGATTGAGCCTTGGGCTCGGTGTCATCGTCTCAAGGCAGATCAGGACGCCATTGCTGTCCCCTCAATGCGGCCACAGAACCGCGACAAACATAGGCATGATGCGCCCAGGTCAGTGGTGAAGGAGTACCTTTGCCTGTGCCGGATGCTTAGGATGTCAGAGAAGCTCTGAGAGCATTGAGATCGTGACTGGCACGACTTGTGCTAGAGGGAGTTTGAAATGGTCGCCCTTAGTTTGAAATGCCCTTTTGAAACCTGGGGCGCAATTAGCAGACGTAAAACAAATGGGCCAAACTGGAATTATATGACAGGAGGCAACTTGCAGCAGCCTTCGGCTCTCATGCTTTTTCAGAATACGCCACTTCTTTGGGGCAATTTTTGGTAAGGGTGGACTGGAAGTTGTTTGTTGTGGATTTCTGCGAGTTTCTCTTTGTGGACGCCGCGATCCCAAGTGAGGATCCAGGGGTATTCTTCCCAGTCTTATTGTGTCATGCTAGACAACATTCAGGAAAGCCAACACCAGGTAAATCCAACAGTATTTGATCAAGTAAGCTCATGTAAGCTCATGTAAGCTCATGTAAGCTCAAGACTGACTTCACATCAAAACCCTCAAAGTCAAGCTGATTCGTCTTCTTGGGGCAGCTTCCGATCTTCTTCGGCCCCGGACCCCCCCGAAAAAACTCCCCAAGGCCACGGCTCGCTGGGCGCGCCCGGCGCGCAAGGCCGCACGGCCCGGCCCCTGCTGCGGGACTGGGCCTCCGGGCGCATGGCAGGCGACGGAGGCGGCGGGGCGGCGGCAGCTACCGCCTTCGCGGCTGGGACTTCGACGCGGATTCGCGCGGGGGGAATTCGTTGGACGGCGTCGTCGCGGGGAGTTCTTTTGACTACTCTGTGTGGAAGCGTCCATTTGCGGCAACCATAATATTTCGTAGTGTTAGTTATTCTATTATATTATTTTTTCTCCCTGGTGGTTTCAAGGCTATTGGAAACTTCCATTTGCGCCAAACAGCATACTGATGTGATTTTCCGCTGGCGTTGGTAACCGATCGCTGCAAATCTGGTCTCAGGTTTTTGCAGGGCTGAAGCTTAAAGTACGGCTTCCATGGGCTCCGGGTTTCTTGCAGCCGAGTTCACCGGCCAAAGATCTTCCGAGTTGACCCCCGGGCGGTGACCCGTGGATAGCCAGTCTCCAGGCCGAATTGGCTTCGTTCTGAAGCCTTCCAAGGGTCCAGTTTTCCGGGTCGACACCGGCATAGACCCAAGATGGCACCCCAAGTCAGAACCTGCGCCGGCGCCCCGCACGCGGTCCATCTCGCAAGATGCCGAAGGCGCCGTCGAACCGAAAAAGCCCCGAACAGCACTGCAACACCAATCTCATATAAAAGTGCGCCCGCACCGTCGCCAGCACCTCAAACAGCCCCAAACAGAATCCAGAACAGCACCTACGGTCAATTTTGCAAAACTGCGCCCGAAGCGTCACCTGTACGCATGCCCTTTAGCACCCGGCCATCTATCTCGCAAGAATGCGCCCGCACCGTGACCAGCACCTCAAACAACACTCCAAACAGCACGCCAAAACTGCACACGCTCACCTTGCCATCAATCTTTCAAAAAATGCGGCCGCACCCTCACAAGCACCACAAACGGCTCCCCAAACAGCACACCCCAACAGCATCTGCGCCAGGACCCCAACTGCACGCCCTCTATCACGCAGCCGTAAATCTCGCAAATCACTTTCCCGCTTTAATAGAAGTTAGAACCCCTATAGCTTTCAGCTATCTGGGGGAAAAACAACAACCTTTGCGATGTTTTCAAGGGCCCTTTGAACGGATTGAAGTAATTAGCAATGGTGCTTTCTTGTTTGGGAGTACTGAAGCCCCCCATTGGAAAATGTCATGAGTCAAGATGCCAACATGCGCCCAGACCAAAAAGAGGGGCAAGGTAAAGATTGGCAAGTGAGCTGCGACATGGCCAGCCCGTCTGCTCGCTCCCGAAGCCCGGGCTCACCGACCAGCCGCGGCTTCCAGTCGCTGAGGGCCATGGCTCAGTACCAGGCAGGCGGCGAAAAAGCTTCTCTATCGCAGGGGAAACCTATGGGAAACCGAATTCCAGGTCTTTCAAGAACCATGGTAATTATGACCTAATGATCTTTTTTGCCGGTCCTGGTAGGTGTTTGTTTTTTTGGCCCGCAACTCCTGCAGGTCACGTCTACAATTGCACACAGCCATGACTGGAGGCGAGAGTTGGAGCGCCTGAGCACCGGAGGGGACGTCTTTGCCATGGATCGGAATCAACAGAGACTCAACTTGGACTCTGATTCCTTGGACTCCCTGGATCGCAACCTGGACAGCATCACACTATGTGTTTTTTGAAGATCGTTTCTTTTCGGAGTGTGTGTGTGTATTTTTCCTACTCCCCCTAACTTATGGCCGTATCTTTCAAATCTTCAGGATGGACGCTGGTTCTGGGAATTTCAAGGAGAGGCTTTGGCTGCGGTGTTAATGCGAAACTAAATCGCACAATTCCCTTTGGGTATGTGTCAAGGAAAACAACCTTACCAAGGTGAACAGGGTCAGAAAAGAACACCCTTTCTTCCTGCAGCACCTGGCCGAATCGTTCCATGTTTTGGCAGGTTGGGAAGAAACGTCCAAACAAAAAAACATCTTTTCAATTGTATCCCACCAAATTATCTCTACAAATGCGAAGGCTCTTACTTCAATTTGCTTAAGCATATTGGTTTATTTGCCCCCGTTGTTTTTACAGGGAATCTATCACTACTCGAAATATGTTTGCATGTTGTTTTTTCTTCTTACTTGTTTTTCTTCTGTGGAGTTATTCGCAAATGGAGGTAAGTAAATGAGTGTAAATACATATTATATAAGATATATATATATATATTGATTGATATATATATATATATATATAGGTAAGCAAATGAGTGTACATACACATATCTATATATTGATATATATATATACATATATGTTATATACAAAATAATTGTATTAATGTGTATACCTAGAAAACCTGGAGTGGATAATTTCTGTTTTTTGCCGTAACTACATATGTTTTAGTCGTTTTCATCAAACAAGCCTTTTCCTTCAAAAAGCGCCTTTGGGACACCTGCCTAGAACAGGGTTCGGCAAAAAACGCCTTCGAGAAAAACGCCTCTGCCAGTTTGTTGCATACATCCAAAAAGCAAATCTCTGGAAAGTCGCCTCCAGGCAAACATATGACGTTCCCTGAAAAAGCAGTTTCCAACGAAAAGACAGAACATATCGGACTTAGGAAGATCCAGGTATATATATATATATCTATATATATATATCTATATATCTATATATATATATAGTCTAGGCTTCTTTGCTCGAGCCGGCGAGGTCAGATCTACCGCTTCCCCTTGTGGCTGGTGACGCGGGTGCCGCAACCCGAGCGCTTCGCCAGGCTTCGCTTTCGCGCAGTGGAGCCGCCGAGAGGCCGCGGAGGATCGCGCAGGTCTTGCTATGACTCCGTGCGCGACAAGATGGTGGTGATAAAGCAACTACCTCCAGAGGCCGGGTGATTCTTGTTCTTCATATTTTGAAATGGCACCCCAAAAGTTTATCCTTGGATTTGGCGTGCCCTAGCTACTGTTCATTTTTTGGGGATAGCGCATTGCGAGTTTCTGATCATTCCTTTGCAATCGCCAGGGTCGCCATGGTCATGCCATTTCATATTCCAACATTGACATTTGGCTCCCATGACAAGCAGAGATTGTTGGTTTTCTTGCCATACATAGATGTAACCTACCAGCCCCTGTCCCCTCCAGCATCCTCCAAGGGCTGCGTTTGCTCGTCTCCAACCCCCCAAGCGCGATTTTCTCCTTTTGGATTCTCATGTTGGTGCGTGTTTTTCACAGACGAAGCGAGCAAGCAAGTGAGTGAGCGACTGGTGATGCTTTGGACAGTACTTGGCATTTTGAACCTGCGACAAACAACAGTTTGTTGGGGGGTGCCGGCTGACTCCATGTCTTTGAACTTCGTGGCACGAGCGCCAGGAAGAGCATTTGTGGATCCAGGAAGTCCGGGCGCTCCACCTATGCCTGCATCCAAACATCGTGACGCTCCTGGAGGTAGCTACGGCTTTGTTGACACACCATCAATCACTTCCACCCCAATGAATGTGGATAACCCTTGAGGAAGCATGTGCTCTTAGGGCTCAGTTCGGGACGTGTAAACAAACAGAGTCGCGAGGTGTTTATATAGAACCACAGAATCAATTCATTCAAGACATCGCAATGCAAACACGAGAAAGACAAATCAGAAGGAAGCTTGCAGTTGAATTGGCAACTTGACGACAAACAAGCAAAAGTACATGGGACTACAATTTGCTTGGAACTGTTTGAAGGACCGAAACAAATGTTGTCTTCTGTTGGGGTACTTTCCCCCTTCTTTCCAGGGATCCGAATCTTTCTAGAAAACCTCCTTTGAAACCGAGGGAAACGGATCCGGTTTTTGGAAAGAACGATGGTTGAAGAGAATGGAAAAGGAATCAACCCCTAGATGTTTGGGTAACTACTTGGCCCGAGCCCATGACCCTAAATGGGCCTTTGACCGCGGAGAAATTTGGGCCTTTGACCGCATGAAGGAGCCTTCGTCGCATCTCAGGTAGGATTCCATTTGTTTGTTCCTCTAAAGGCGCAGCAAACCCCAGTGGTTGACTTCCCCCCAAACAGGCATTTTTGGGTTTAACAAGAAATCCGGGAATGGAGCCCTGATCTCAGCTGGGTGAATTATAACGACCTCACACGACCGAATTCACCGCACCTGGTGGTTTATGTGGGGAGTAGCCCCCCAACCCTATTTCAGGTTGGTGAAACATCTTAATTCGAAAACCGGTGGAAACCACCAGATATGTTTTTCAGGTACCTGAGTTGGAAATACCACCGGTTTTTCAGGTTGGTGAAACATTATATTTCACTCAGTTGCTTTGGATTTGGCCGGAAGCCGAGTTTCCTTTGGCCTTCGTTTCTTGCTTTTTGTTTTTCTTTTTCAGTCTAGTGCTGCCATGCTGTGGTTTCATGAACATGCATCTCAGGTATTTCATCCCAGAACATGCCTCTTCGAGGCTATGGCCACAGACCTCCGCGCCCTGTTGCGGAACCGCCAGCGCTCCGATCCCAACGCGCTGGCGCTACCCATGTTGGCCGGGAACTTGAGGCGCGGGGCTTGACGACTCTGAGCAACTGGTTCCCAATGGGTGGTTTGAATTGGTGTCTTGGGGATTTCAAACCTTGGTTCTTAGTAGAGGGTAAATGGGAAACCACTTCCCAAACCATCGATTCAAAACACCTGATAACAGCTCCGGATCAATAGGAACGGTTTTTTGGGGACGGAAGTCGCGGAAGTCCTTCGAGGGACATGTGTTTGAAACAATCATTCGGGTGATTTTGAGGGTGTCACTTCAACGACTTTAATGGGCCCTGAAACTCTACGTTAAGTCTCCCAAACTTGATACCCTAGACTGCGCTTGTTTGCAGGGTGTTGCGTTCCTCGAATGTTCAAACAGCTTTGCAGACTGCTTTTTTGTGATCCATGGGGCTGGAGTGGATGGAGGAGCTTTCGATTGAAGGCGACTTGCTTGGGCCATACCGACTTGTCCGGGCTTGTGTTTGCAGCTGCATATGTTACAGCGCGCAAAATCTTAAAGAGCAGACAGCTTTGACCAGTGAGAAGGGATGATGCAGGCCTGGACGCAGGGATTTGTTTTGCCCCGAAATCGAGGAGCTTATCCCGGAATACCCTGAGCTGCCTCTAAGGCCCCTTTACCTGG